GAAAAGTCGATTTTGTATTAAATCACAATACATTTATCCCGGAGGATTTAGAACATAGGAAGTGATGGTGTTATCAGTGAGGTCGTTTGAACTGAGACAGCTGTATTCTCTTCTGGGGGCCCAATGAAGGATTTCACAAACTGGGATTAATAAAAGTAAATCTAATCTAACGATGCCTAATAATACAATTTAGGGCTGTGCAATTAATCGTATTTTAATCTCGATTACGATTTTGGCTTGCAACGATTACGAAAACAACGTAATCGAAATAAAACGATTATTATCTTTGTTAAAAAAAAGAAAAAATGTAATTATTATTATTTTTTTTTTTTAAATGTTTTGGTTTTTCAGTTGAATTACACTTAAAGTTCAGGGTAATCAACTGTTAAAAACATACTGTTCACATTTTTGTTTCAATAAATGGATGTTTTCAAAGTAAATGGATAATCGTTTTTAATAATCGTGATATCAATTATTGACCAAAATAATCGTGATTAGGATTTTTGCCTTAATCGCACAGCCCTAATACAACTAACTATTATTTTAGACAATGAGGTGTTTTATTTTGTACTATAACGACAGACCTCTCTCTGTGTGTCTGAGTTCGGATGACGTCTACTGTGGCGCGTGTGTTAGTGAGGATCTGAGGGAGTACGTAGGGCTCTATTGACTTGTAAAACTACAGAACAGCTGGTCCGCCCCGCCCACTCCAGATTGAGCTCAACAGGAAGTTAAAGGACAGGGGAATCCGTAATGCCCATGGATCTTTGTTCTAATTTATGAATCCAAACAATGGTAGAATGCATTGGGTTAGAACAGAAAATGAAAGGTATAGTTGCAGCGCTGTCAGTGTTGTTGGACAGATATAAATAGTTATTTGATTTAATAATCAAATAACTATGTTGTATTTTAAACACAACATGGTCAAATGTGGGGCATTTGGGACAATAAACCACACCTAAGCGTTTTTGAGTTTTTAGAAACTGTATTATTATTATTATTCATATTATTAAAAAAGCAGCAAACAGAAAGTCTTCAGTTAAAATAAGTCAGATTGCAGACCTGTAGTTTTCTGGTTGTTTGTTCCAGATATATGGAGCATAAAATACAGGTGAGCTCACCTGTGGACCAGGTGGTCCTCCGACACTTTTCGCCCCGTTGTGACCTTTGGGTCCAGGAAACCCAGTTGACCCTGGAAATAAAACGACATCACAGACAGAGACAGGTGAGTTTAACCTGGTGCCATCATAGCACTGACTCTGAATCAGATGCTGCTGTCTACTGGGCTGGTCAACGTGAACAGACCAGTACCAACAATCATGAATGTGACCAAGAGCTCCGGTCCCAGCTGTGTGCGTCACTCTTTAGTGTCCCCTGGTCTCCCAGCTGTGTGCGTCACTCTTTAGTGTCCCCTGGTCTCCCAGCTGTGTGCGTCACTCTTTAGTGTCCCCTGGTCTCCCAGCTGTGTGCGTCACTCTTTAGTGTCCCCTGTTCTCCCAGCTGTGTGCGTCACTCTTTAGTGTCCCCTGTTCTCCCAGCTGTGTGCGTCACTCTTTAGTGTCCCCTGGTCTCCCAGCTGTGTGCGTCACTCTTTAGTGTCCCCTGTTCTCCCAGCTGTGTGCGTCACTCTTTAGTGTCCCCTGGTCTCCCAGCTGTGTGCGTCACTCTTTAGTGTCCCTTGGTCTCCCAGCTGTGTGCGTCACTCTTTAGTGTCCCCTGGTCTCCCAGCTGTGTGCGTCACTCTTTAGTGTCCCCTGGTCTCCCAGCTGTGTGCGTCACTCTTTAGTGTCCCCTGGTCTCCCAGCTGTGTGCGTCACTCTTTAGTGTCCCCTGGTCTCCCAGCTGTGTGCGTCACTCTTTAGTGTCTGTCACTACCCGATCCGTTCACCTGCCCGATCGGTACTGCGCATGTGCGAGATGGTCCGCCATATTGGACAACTCCGTACGGTAACCCAACTAGGACACTTGACACAGTGGCTTTTGGCAAAGCACACAAAAAAACCTCAAAAAACCGAGAGAGATTAGTTATTGTTATTACAACGTGACTTCACTATTATTTAACAACTATTTCTATTGGGTTCTTTTATTTGGGGTTAAGTACATTGTCAGAATAAGTGAGAAATGGATTTAACTTCTGTTAGACAGCTATCATACTGAATAAATATTTATGCAAAAACGTATGGCATTAATAATGTATATCTAATTACATTTAAAAATGTATGGCATTAATAATGTATATCTAATTACATTAACTGTGAATGTCTTTCATTTTATTTAAAATGAACAATTACATACAACATTTTCCATAAAAAAGTTGATTCAAGAACAAATCTCTGTTATTAGATCAGTACTTTTCTTATATGACTATTATTGCTAAATTTGAAAGGTCTTTACCAGCTTTGGAATTATATATAAAACAAAGATAAACTAGTTCTTGCTACCTTGGTCTAGTTAAATACTATACTGGACTCGTGAAAAATACTGGAAGACAAGATTTACTTTGAGGAAGGATTGCTCTACTTATTATCGTGTTTACAATAGTTGAGATTGTGCATTGTGATACACCACAAAGGGAAGGGGGTTGTGTCTGTGTTTAGGGTTCCTGCAGTTTTTGAACGGAAAGCACACAAGTTCAGAGGAATAAGCTGTTCCCGTGCTGCTACCATGGACTGGCTGTTACCCACAACCTGCAATATAATTAATCAAGCAAAATTAAAGGATAACAAACTCCAGTTAAATTATTCCATATTAATAAATAATATTACATGCAAATTACATTTCCTGTAGGATGCTGAACCCACCTCTCCCCTCTGCCCCCATTGGACCTGGATCTTAACAACCCCCCCCCCCACACACACACACACACACACACACACACACACACACACACACACACACACACACACACACACACACACACACACACACACACACACACACACACACACACACACACACACACACCACACACACACACACACACACACACACACACACACACACACACACACACACACACACACACACACACACACACACACATAATATATTTATTGTTGTGCCTTTTTATTTGCTCGTATTATGATGGGATTTGGTTTAATTTAGTAAATGGTTGTGCGTTGTGTGTGAAAAATGTATATCTCTAAAAAGTGTGTTGGTGTATGATCACATTTGTATATGAAAATGTCTGAAGTTAATAAATACATTCTCAGTGTTCAAGTCAATCACTGACGATGCTTACGATATCATAAAATCTAAGTGTTAATGATTGTCAGTAGAGATGGGATGGCAGAAGGTGCTATATATATATATATATATATATATAATTCCAAAGCTGGTAAAGACCTTTCAAATTTAGCAATAATAGTCATATAAGAAAAGTACTGATCTAATAACAGAGATTTGTTCTTGAATCAACTTTTTTATGGAAAATGTTGTATGTAATTGTTCATTTTAAATAAAATGAAAGACATTCACAGTTAATGTAATTAGATATACATTATTAATGCCATACATTTTTAAATGTAATTAGATATACATTATTAATGCCATACGTTTTTGCATAAATATTTATTCAGTATGATAGCTGTCTAACAGAAGTTAAATCCATTTCTCACTTATTCTGACAATGTACTTAACCCCAAATAAAAGAACCCAATAGAAATAGTTGTTAAATAATAGTGAAGTCACGTTGTAATAACAATAACTCATCTCTCTCGGTTTTTTTTGTTTTCTTTGTGTGCTTTGCCAAAAGCCACTGTGTCAAGTGTCCTAGTTGGGTTGCCGTACGGAGTTGTCCAATATGGCGGACCATCTCGCACATGCGCAGTACCGATCGGGCAGGTGAACGGATCGGGTAGTGACAGTGTCCCCTGGTCTCCCAGCTGTGTGCGTCACTCTTTAGTGTCCCCTGGTCTCCCAGCTGTGTGCGTCACTCTTTAGTGTCCCCTGGTCTCCAGCTGTGTGCGTCACTCTTTAGTGTCCCCTGGTGTCCCAGCTGTGTGCGTCACTCTTTAGTGTCCCCTGGTCTCCCAGCTGTGTGCGTCACTTTTTAGTGTCCCCTGGTCTCCCAGCTGTGTGCGTCACTCTTTAGTGTCCCCTGGTCTCCCAGCTGTGTGCGTCACTCTTTAGTGTCCCCTGGTCTCCCAGCTGTGTGCGTCACTCTTTAGTGTCCCCTGGTTTACATAGTGTTTTGAGCTTCTTGCAGCATTTTGGATTTGCAGCATTCCATGTTTGAATGTGAGAAAGAAGTCTGATCAGAATTTTTGGAAAAAGCCAGAATTCTAAGATTTTCTGAAAAACGTCAGGATAAAAATGTAATTCTGAGATTTGCAGACAGAAGTCAGATTTTATAGATTTTCTAAAAAAGTTATAGGTTCAAGAAAAAAGTCAGATTTTCTGAAAAAAGTCACAATTCCGAGATTTTCAGGTCAGAATTTAAGAAAGAATTTGGTATTTTCAGAAAAATTCAGAATTTTAATTTTTTTATTTTCAGCATTCTGTGAGTTTAAAAAAGATTGACAGCAGGTACATATTTCTAGTAGCCTCCAACATTATTTAAATTATTCAGATTTCTTCTCTTCAATAGCATACTGACAATTAGCTCAGATAATCAGAGTAAATGATTCAGGTGTTTTCTTACCTGTCAACCCGATTTCACCTTGCTCTCCTTTTCTGCCTGGAGGTCCTGGGGAGCCCGCAACAAGCGGACAAACCAAGCACACTCCCCCCTTCTCACCTGAATAACACAAATCAATCAGTTATGCTCAACAAGGCAAGGCAAGTTTATTTATACAACACTTTTCAAAACAATGCAATTCAAAGTGCTTTACAAAAATGACATTAAAGGGCAAAGATAATAAAACATGAGCACCACTAAACTCGTACAAATCTGATGTCTTTTTTATCATAATACAAAATTCTGCTGTTTTAGTAAAGCTCAGACGGGTATTTCATGTCTCCCCCCACTCACCTGTCAGTCCATCCTCCCCTCCGACTCCAGGGAATCCAGTCGGGCCTTTTAGACCTTTATCTCCTGGAGCGCCGACATCTCCCGGGAGAAAATCTGACATGAAAGTGAAAAACAAAAATAATAATTTGGCATTGTCGACAGGTCGATTTTTGTTTATCTTGGTGAAGCTCTCTGGCTATACGATCCCCTCCGCTTCAATTATTTGCGCTAAGCTAGGCTAACATCTCCTCATTTGACCCAGAAATGTAACTAAGAGCTGAGAGTCTACAAAGAGTTAGGAAGCATGCCCCACTCTATGAGCAGGCAGGAAGTCAATACAAGATGTTGTGAATGAACCTTTTTTTATGACATGTTCAACTTCAACCTCTTGTTACTTGTCTGATATGTTCTAGAAAAAACCTTTGGATTATTCAAGTGTATATTTGATATTTCCTTATTTCACTGCAGAGTAAATGTTTTACAGATGTTTGTGTGCAACTCTTCACTTTCAACAGCCTTATCAGGACGATAAATACGTTTATTGTAAAGAGTCGTTTAATAAAGATTCCAAAATACGACTCTCTCTGTCCGGAGATAACGTCTCAAGATTAAAGAGGCCCTATTCTGCTCATTCTCATCTTCATATTAGAAGCCTATGTGTTGTGTTGGAGCGCTGGCCAATAGGAGCGCGAGAGTTATATAGTCATGTCTTTATGTTCTGGAAGGGATTTGAGCGTTTGCAGACCATGTGCATGCAGAGAACCGTATAGGACTCACTACAGGAGAGGGAACACCACACAAAGCAGAACAGGGCCTCTTTAAGACAAACTAGAAAACAGAAAACAAGTTTGAAACCCTCACCTGGTATTCCCGGTTCGCCTGGTTCTCCTTCCAATCCTGGACCTCCAGGAACTCCAGAGAGTCCCGGGGGGCCGACCACGAGGGGACCGGAAGCTCCTGATTCTCCTTTGGGTCCAGTTGAGCCTGGAGGCCCCTGAGGGCCCGGTGGACCATTGGAAGCCACACCTGGAGGGAAAAGAAGAGTCTTTATTTAGAGTCTTACTGTCAAAGTCAAAAGTCAAAGTAGAAAGTACAGGTATTTGAGTTCAACATGTAAGAAGTAGAAAGTACAGGTATTTGTGTTCAACATGTAAGAAGTAGAAAGTACAGGTATTTGTGTTCAACATGTAAGAAGTAGAAAGTACAGGTATTTGTGTTCAACATGTAAGAAGTAGAAAGTACAGGTATTTGTGTTCAACATGTAAGAAGTAGAAAGTACAGGTATTTGTGTTCAACATGTAAGAAGTAGAAAGTACAGGTATTTGTGTTCAACATGTGAGAAGTAGAAAGTACAGGTATTTGTGTTCAACATGTGAGAAGTAGAAAGTACAGTTATTTGAGTTCAACATGTAAGAAGTAGAAAGTACAGGTATTTGTGTTCAACATGTGAGAAGTAGAAAGTACAGGTATTTGTGTTCAACATGTGAGAAGTAGAAAGTACAGGTATTTGGGTTCAACATGTGAGAAGTAGAAAGTACAGGTATTTGTGTTCAACATGTAAGAAGTAGAAAGTACAGGTATTTGAGTTCAACATGTAAGAAGTAGAAAGTACAGGTATTTGAGTTCAACATGTAAGAAGTAGAAAGTACAGGTATTTGTGTTCAACATGTAAGAAGTAGAAAGTACAGGTATTTGTGTTCAACATGTAAGAAGTAGAAAGTACAGGTATTTGGGTTCAACATGTGAGAAGTAGAAAGTACAGGTATTTGTGTTCAAAATGTAAGAAGTAGAAAGTACAGGTATTTGAGTTCAACATGTAAGAAGTAGAAAGTACAGGTATTTGAGTTCAACATGTAAGAAGTAGAAAGTACAGGTATTTGAGTTCAACATGTAAGAAGTAGAAAGTACAGGTATTTGAGTTCAACATGTAAGAAGTAGAAAGTACAGGTATTTGTGTTCAACATGTAAGAAGTAGAAAGTACAGGTATTTGGGTTCAACATGTAAGAAGTAGAAAGTACAGGTATTTGTGTTCAACATGTAAGAAGTAGAAAGTACAGGTATTTGTGTTCAAAATGTAAGAAGTAGAAAGTACAGGTATTTGGGTTCAACATGTAAGAAGTAGAAAGTACAGGTATTTGTGTTCAAAGTGTAAGAAGTCAAAGTAAAAAGTGGTCAGAAAAATAAGTAGTGGAGTAAAGTACTGATACCAGAAAAATGTACTTAAGTACAGTAACGAAGTATTTGTACTCCACTACTTCCCACCTCGGGATACAGAGGAACTGAGTCGGAGTTTACCTGGCTCGCCCTGCAGGCCAGGAAATCCAATGAGTCCTGAAAGAAACCACAGAAGAAGAACGTGACTGAGCATCGAGGATGAGAGAGATGCTGTGCAGCTGATTTAACAGAAATCTCCCCAAAACACAAACTGATCCACGAGACAGATACTTCTTAATATAATTAGTTATTTTACAATGACTCAAAAGGTATCCTTTAAATACTTTGTATGCTAGCCAATAGGAGCACAAGTGTTAAATAGTGATGTCACATTTCACAAAGCCATAACATCAGACCATAAGGAAGATTGAAAAAAGCGTTTGAAATGATCTAGAATCTAAACTTTATGAGGGATAAAAGTAGTTGCCTGTTCCTGGCTGTCTGTGGAGCACTTGGTTTCCTGTCAAAGCAATTCTTTACTCAAATCCTAGGGTCTTTATGTCTGTAGGTATCATACCATCTATTGTCTGTCTACACGTACCTGCACATTTAAACTGATTATATGCAAAGCACTTTGAAACAATGAATGATGCTGAATTTGTTAGCCTGTGAGCAGCAGTTGAAATGTTTGTAGCAATGTAGCATTTATGCTAACAGGTACTCTGCTATTTAGAATGTTTGTTTAGTCTTTTGTATTTGTATTTAATGTTTAATGTGATAACGTCTCATGACTGTGTGTTTTGTTTTTGTTTGTATTTCAGTTTTACAAAATGGAAATGAATGAAAATGAATCAGAAAACATCCGAAACTGACCTGCGGTCTCCTGGTGTTTATTGCTAAACCTTGTTAAGCTATCTGCCAACCCTGCAATCTCTAAATATTCTTGTTGTTGTGGAAATATTTTCCAAGGCCCATAACTTTGACCCAGTTGATCAGTTTGTGACCTCACTGACCTCAGGCACCTGTAGCCTGGGCTGCTGTGCTCTCAGTGTGTCTCCCTGTTCCTGCCTGCTGGCGTCAGCTGGTAGACGTGTTATGGTTCTATCTTGTTCTGCACAATGTGGATTATTCTCTCTGAACTAGCTAAATACACGGGTCTGGGGTAGAGTTCTTCAGAATTGGTTTGGCATCTCAATTTGATAAGCAGGTCAGCACTGTAGTCAAGACCTGCTTTTTAAAAATAAGACTATTGGCCAAAACCAAGTCGTTTTTATCTTTTAAAGACTTAGAAAGGGTTATTAACGCCTTTGTTACCTCGAGACTGGACTATTGCAACGCACTGTATGTGGGTATGGACCAGGCCTCAATTAAACTCCTGCAGCTAGTGCAGAACGCAGCTGCACGTTTGCTGACTGGCCACAAAAAGCGTGACCACATCACCCCTATTCTGGCCTCACTGCACTGGCTTCCAGTTCGGTTCAGAATTGATTTTAAAATTATTTTATTTGTTTTTAAAGCACTAAATGGGCTGGCTCCGGCCTATATAGCTGAACTCCTCCAGCGCTACACCCCAGCCAGAGCTTTAAGGTCTGCTGACCAGCTGCTGCTGGTAGTGCCCAAGACCAGGCTCAAAACCCGAGGGCACCGAGCCTTCACAGCAGCTGGCCCTAGGCTCTGGAACACTCTGCCCCTCCATGTGAGGTCGGCCCAGACCCTAGGGGGTTTTAAATCAACACTTAAGACTCACTTCTTCACCCTGGCCTTCTAGTCAGAGCGGAGCACGACTCCTGACTTTTCCCTGTGTGTTATTTTTATTTTTGCTGTTGTAATTTATTGTTTTCTGTTTGCTATTGTAGTAAAGTGTTTTTATTGCATGTACAGCACTTTGGCTCGACCAAAAATCTTTTTAAAAATGTGCTATATAAATAAAACTTGATTTGATGTCTTGTGAATTCTCCGACCGAAGCTCCAAATAAACCGTCAGTGTTTTCCATCAAAGCTCCAGCTCTCCCCGTGTCTCTGAGTCCTGTTTCTAATTGCTTCAGAAGTTTCCCTCACACTTGTAAGGGCAGAATAATTTGTATCCCTTCATGATGAAACTACCTTGTTCTCCCTGCACTCCTAGGGGTCCTCGGGACCCGGAGGCACCTGGCTGGCCCTTCAGGAATATTTGGTTAAAAACCGTCTGATGAAAGAAAAACACACACATCTGAAAAGCTGGAAAACTTTGATTTCATAGACAAATGTTCTCTCCTGTTGTAGCCTGGCTAACTGTCGATTACATCATTAATACAGCATCTATTTACACAATTTGAATGATCAATAAGTCAAAAGGATTCATGAAAAAGAAAAAGAAAAGTTTTAAAATGACTCACCTCTCCTGGAAGACCTGGAAAACCACGATCACCTTTCTCCCCCTGCACACACACACACACACACACACACACACACACACACACACACACACACACACACACACACACACACACACACACACACACACACACACACAGACACACACACACACACACAGAGACACACAGAGACACACACACACACACACACACACACACACACACACACACACACACACACACACACACACACACACACACACACACACAGAGACACACACACACACAGAGACACACAGAGACACACACAACACAGAGACACACAGAGACACACACACACACACACAGAGACACACAGAGACACACAGAGACACACAGAGACACACAGAGACACACAGAGACACACACACACACACACAGAGACACACAGAGACACACAGAGACACACACACACACAGAGACACACATACACACAGAGACACACACAGAGACACACACACACACACACAGAGACACACAGAGACACACACACACACACACACACACACACACACACAGAGAGACACACACACACACAGAGAGACACACAGAGACACACACACACACACACACACACAGAGACACACACACACACACACACACACACACACACACACACACACACACACACACAACACACACACAGGACACACACACACACAGCGACACAACACACACACACACAACACACACACACACACACACACACAACACACACACACACACACACACACACACACACCACACACACACAGAGACACACAGACACACAGGACACAACAGAGACACCACACGAGACACACAGAGACACAACACACACACACACACACACACAGAGACACACACACACACACACACACACACAGAGACACACACAACACACACACACACACAGAGACACACACACACACACACACACACAGAGACACACACACACACACACACGCACACATATATATATATATGTTTGTATTGTTCTTAGTTTTTTTTATATAGTTATTTGTTGATCGTGTTTAGTTTAGATTAAACAGTGCAGGAAGAGGCCGAAACCCCACCAGGCTCATTTGAAGCCTGAACCTAAATAATGTTAAAATTAAAGTTAATATACAATTTCTTTTTAAATATTGATGGCAAAGTATAAGAAGATCAAAAAATAAAAACAAGTAGACAATAACAAAATGTACTAATTACTTTGATCATATCCAGCAACTCATTTTGACTTCTGTCTATATCACAAAGTGTCACATTTGAAAATACTTAGTAAATATTTAGTTTTCCTGATTTAACCACAGAGGAAATGTTTTACAGATGCTTGTTTCCAACTTCATGAGAAACTCTTGAGTTTCTACAACTTTCTGATGATATTATGTAGTTTACTCAAACAAGTTTAAGATTTCTGACAATCAATCAATCAATCACTCACCGTGGCTCCTTCTATACCCGGAGGTCCGAGGTACCCACGAACCCCTGCTTCCCCCTGCAGAAACAGTCACCATTATTACAGGCTGTCCACACTGCAAACGGATGGTTAGCATTCTTGTTAGCTTAGCATGTTACCTGTACTCCCAGCTCTCCAAGGACTCCATCCTTCCCCGGTTTACCCTGAAACACAAAGCAGCATGTTGGACCCAGAATACACCGGGACATGTTTCTGATGCGGTACAGTAAATATATATAAATATATACAATGGAAAAAGGGGCACTGCATTACAAATTAATAGAACAAATTCCACATTTCCAAAATAAGTAAATTTAAGACAAAAAAATATAAAAAATGCACACATTTACAATAGAAATGTTTGGTATATTCTAGTATGTTAAAGTGATAGATTTACAAGAACATTTTTGAAAAACTTATAAAACTATATTGAATATTTCTAAATGAATTTGAATGTTTATTCTAAATTGTTATCATGTTTATTTGAGAGGGTAGCATTTCATATAATCCAATTCATTTCTATTGATGTATTTTCTATACCCTTATTTTGAAAATTTCGAATTGGTTAGCTGGCCAGTCCTGTTGTGATTGGTCAACAGCTTAGAGATGTCCCGCCCCTTAGACCATTTACATGCACAAAAAACAATAAAACACACTACAGGATAGGGAACACCCAGGCCTCTTCCAGGTCATGATAAACTATCGGTGAGCTGGATGCAATCCTACCTGGAGGGGAGAGAACAGATGGTGGAGGTAAACGGTACTCTGTCCCCCCCCCTCCCAGTGAGCTGTGGTGTTCCACAAGGAAGCATATTAGGTCCGTTACTGTTCCTAATTTATGCAAATGACATGTCATCAGCATGTGACTGCAACTTGTTCCTGTTCGCGGACGACTCAGCCCTGCTGGTCTCTGACAGGAGCAGATTGCAGGTTGAAAAAACCCTCAGCTCCGAGCTCGGCAGAATCTGCACCTGGCTCGCCGATAATAAATTATCATTACACCTGGGTAAAACAGAGTCCATTCTCTTCGGTTCGAAACATAATCTCAGCAAATCCGACGACTTCTCAGTTGCAGTGGGTGACATTATTGTCACAAGTAAGAAGGAAATTACATACCTAGGATCTATTCTTGAGGCAAACCTCTCCTGTGACAAAATGGCATCCAATGTAATAAAAAAAGTCAATCAAAGAACTAGATTCCTATACCGGATCTCCTCTCTGGTAAACAAAAACACCCTGAAAACTCTGGCAGGAGCACTCATTCAAGGGTACTATGACTATGCTTGCACGTCATGGTACCATAGCACCTCCAAGGCGCTAAAAATAAAACTTCAAACATCGCAAAATAAACTGGTCAGACTACTGCTTGACCTTTCATCTAGAACCCACCTCACCTCTGCCCACTTTGACAACCTAGGATGGCTTAGAGTAGACGACAGAGTACAGCTACTTGCAATGGGCCTGGTCTACAAGATCCACTACACCTCTATGGTACCCATGTACATGTCAAAATTCTTCCCAAAGGTCAAGGAATACCATGATCATAACACCAGAGGGAGCTCCACAAATCATGTAAAACCCAGATTTGGCACAAAAAAAGGGGAATACACGTTTCGCAATTATGCCACATCAAGGTGGAACGCTCTTCCCACAACTGTAAAGGAAAGTAAAACTATACTTACCTTCAAAACCTCTCTTAAAGAGCACCTTCGGGGGAAAGCATTGCAAAACTGGCCCCGGTAATGGTACAAATCTCAACCTGTCGTACAATGGACAGCTTCCCCCCCCCCATCTATGTATATACTCGCATTTTAGACTCTGTTACTAACTGTATATCTGTAGACTTGGTATGTCTTAAATGTCCGGTTAGGATGTATTAGAACGAAATCTAAAATGAAAATTGTAAATAATCCATCTGTATGTAAAAAACCACCTGTATGTAAATTGTAAATAAGCCATCTGTATGTCAAATATGTCTTATATGTCTTAAATGATATGATGAATTGGAAATGGGGGACCCTGATGTAAACAAGACGAAAGTCTTTCTCTGGTCTGCATCCCCTTAACAATTGTATGTTTTGAGCTGTACTGTACTGTACCCAATATACAAGCTGTTAATAAACTTTTCAATCAATCAATCAATAAACCCAACATGTAATTAATACAAATATTCAATCAATTAGCTGCTTGTTTGCCGGGTTCTGTTGTAGTCGATGAGTGTAAATTAATTTTGAATACGTATCATATCGATATCATAAATGTCTCTTACTAGTGATCCGGGATCTCCTGGCCCGCCCTTTTCTCCTTTGACCCCCAGTTTCCCCGGGACACCCTGGTGGAGAAAACACAGTTCATCTGACTCTGATAATGAACAAAAGTGAGCATGTTTGTTTATTAAATGTTTCTGACAGACAGACAGACAGGTCATCAGAATGTGAGACGGGTTTTACTTACAAGTAGACCAAGACAACCTTTCGCTCCAATGTCACCTGGTTCTCCCTGAAATACAAAAAAAACAAACTGAGAAAACAGGCGACAAACGGACGGACAAACGGACAGACAAACGGACAAATTGACAGACAAACGGACAGACAGACGGACAGACAGACGGACAGACAAACGGACAGACAGACGGACAGACAGACGGACAGACAGACGGACAGACAGACGGACAGACAAACGGACAAATTGACAAACGGACAGACAAACGGACAGACAAACGGACAGACAAACGGACAAATTGACAGACAAACGGACAGACAGACGGACAGACAAACGGACAGACAATCGGACAAATGGACAGACAAACGCACACATTGACAGACAAACGGACAGACAGACGGACAGACAGACAGACAGACAGACAGACAGACAGACAGACAGACTGACAAACGGACAGACAATCGGACAAACGGACAGACAAACGGACGGACAAACAGACAAATTGACAGACAAACGGACAGACAGACAGACAAACGGACAGACGGAGAGACAAACGGACAGACAAACGGACAGACAATCGGACAAATGGACGGACGGACAAACGGAGAGACAAATGGACAGACAAACGGACAGACAAATGGACGGACAAACAGACAAATTGACAGACAAACGGACAGACAGACGGAGAGACAAACGGACAGACAAACGGACAAATTGACAGACAAACGGACAGACAGACGGACAGACAGACAAACGGACAGACGGAGAGACAAACGGACAGACAAACGGACAGACAATCGGACAAATGGACGGACGGACAAACGGAGAGACAAATGGACAGACAAACGGACAGACAAATGGACGGACAAACAGACAAATTGACAGACAAACGGACAGACAGACGGAGAGACAAACGGACAAATTGACAGACAAACGGACAGACAGACGGCCAGACAGACAAACGGACAGACGGACAGACAAACGGACAGACAAACGGACAGACAATCGGACAAATGGACGGACGGACAAATGGACAGACAAACAGACAGACAAACGGACGGACAAACGGACGGACGGACAAACGGACGGACAAACGGACGGACAAACGGACGGACAAACGGACAGACAAATGGACGGACAAACGGACAGACAAATGGACGGACGGACAAATGGACAGACACACGGACGGACAAATGGACGGACAAACGGACAGACAAACGGACGGACAAACAGACAGACACACGGACGGACAAACAGACAGACACACGGACGGACAAACAGACAGACAAATGGACAGACAAACGGACGGATAAACAGACAGACACACGGACGGACAAACAGACAGACAAACGGACGGACAAACAGACAGACAAATGGACAGACAAACGGACGGATAAACAGACAGACACACGGACGGACAAACAGACAGACAAACGGACGGACAAACAGACAGACAAATGGACAGACAAACGGACGGATAAACAGACAGACCTTCAGTTCTTTGGGTCCTTCAGCATAAAGTTTAATTCCTTTCTGTCCAGGAACCCCCGTCGGACCGCGATAACCCTGAAAATCAAAAGCAGCTGGCGGTGATGATGATGAAGATGATGATGATGGTGTTTTACAGGTTAGAAACATTTGAGTAAGTGTTTTATTGTCTGCTCACATTTCAATCAGAGTGTAACATTTTACAGGTGACGTGACTTTTTTGCGATTAGCTTCAATATTAGCATCAGCATCAGAATCAAGTTTTGGGGAATTTGTCTTTGTCTTAAGGTGCATACATAAACATAGGAAAATACATTTAAGAAAACTATAATAACATTAAAAAATATAAAAAATTCTCGTAAAACATAGCAATATTGACATTGAATGTGGGTTGAAATCGTAGTAATACAATTGGAATAAAAGTAAGGTTTCTCTTCAGACCCGTCGGCTCACCTTCTGTCCGCGGGGGCCTGGTATCACCGGACTGGGACCCTCCTGACCCTGAAACACAAACACAGCTTCATCAGGAGAGAGTGACATGATTCAGGGTCATGCTATAACATTTTTGCAGCTAAATACAGAACCGTTTTTTCATTTTTATTGACCAATGAGTTTATGATTAACATGTATTATAGCCTCTTAATTTTGCTCTCAAGGTCAATCTAATTCCTGATGCATTTAACTTTAAATTAACTAAATGTAGGGTGAGAATTTATTTTTTCACATATATATACTGTAGGAGAAATATTTATTGCAATGTCAGTTTTTCCAAGATCGTGAAACCCTAATTTACATTATGTGCGATTAAAGTCCACTGTGTGTTAACTAACGAGCCCCTAAAGTCTAGAGAAGAGCAACATATTAAATGATGTAAACAACATCCTAACTTGTAAGTTAAGATACCAACTTTCCAAACAGAATATTCACTTCCAAATATAGATATATAGATAAGATTGTTTGGTGGTTCTGTTGTAAACATTTTAAAGATTTATTTTGTCCAGTGTTTGTTGATTTTGGCCTGAGTTTGTTACAGTGGTTAAAAACAAGATGAATTTGTTTGTAAAAGTGCAATGAGGATTATTAGCACACGTACCTTCTCTCCTGCTAATCCTGAAAACCCTGGATTTCCCTACATTTAAAAGAGACCATAAAGGAAAGAGCTGACGTCAGTGGGTTGACGCGTCAGTTACAGACATTTAAATAAAGTTTGATAGGTAAAGACTTTACAGGAAGTCCGGAAGGTCCTGGTTCTCCTGGAAAGCCGGGTTCCCCTGGATCTCCACTCAGCCCCTGCAACACAAACAGCTAATCAGAGGACTTTGTCCACTAGCCAATCAGAGGATTTTCTCCACCAGCCAATTAAATGACTTTCTCCACCAGACAGTCAGAAGATTTTTTGTCCATTAGCCAATCAAACAATACTATCCATTAGCTAATTAAAGGATTTTCTCCACTAGCAAATTAGAGCAATTTCTCCAACAGCCAATCAGAGGATTTCTCCACCAGCCAATCACAATCACAAATATAGAATATTACAAGTCAGATAACAAAACATCCACAAAAAATTAAGAACACTGACATATTCTCCTTCTCGTCCTTGGGGTCCTGGTGCTCCTTTAATATCTGGAGTTGCTGCAAAAACGTAAGTGTCTCCCTGTAACCAAAAACAGAAACATAACACGGTTCAATGTTTCTTTTATCTGTTAGAAAAGAAACCAGTAATAATTCCCACATGAGTAATATTTAAAAACAATCAATACAAAAATACGTAAAAGAAAAAAGATAATACATTTTTAAATAAATGTAAAAAAGACTTTAAAGGTAGGGTAGGTAAGTTTGAGAAACCGGCTCGAGATACACTTTTTGTTATATTCCATGGAATGCTCTTAACATCCCGATAGCAATGAATATCTGAAATGCTTTGACAAAAAATACATAAATAAATATCATCTGTGGAAGCTGTAGTACTGTAAAAAGCACGACCAATCATCTGAGCCGGCCCGGCTAAAATAACTGGATGGCCTGCCTGCCTGTCAGCCTTCCATCTGTGCACAAACTTATCTCGTGCCCTCATTGGTCATGTGCACGTTCGTGTGTGTTGGAGGAGGGGCTCTGTGAGGAAGTGGCAGATTTTCTCCGGTTGTGTATTTTCAAATTCTAGCGATCTCGAGCCGGTTTCTCCAAAATTACCTACCCCACCTTTAAGGCCTGTACTCCAAAAGTATTATCTAGTAAAAACATAAATAAGTTTAGCAAACATTCAGCAAGCTGTCTTCCCTCATATAAAGAATAATAAAGATATAATTATATTATACATATAATATACTGTATATGTATTCACGTGAGAAATGTGTGGTTCTATCACATCAATGACAGGCACTGTATGAATATGTTCAGAAATTGATATTCATACGTGTTATGTTATTCTAGCCCCGGAACTGTTTAGTATTAACTGCATGTGTGGCTCAAGTGAAAACCCTTTTTCATTTTGTACCAAGATTGAAAACATAATGACAGTATGTGAGTTTGTGCCGGCGTTACCTTTGCCCCTCGCAGTCCTGATCGACCCTGAAACACAGAAGCATAGTTAGCCTTAGCTTCTTATAAGATAAGATAAGATAAGAAGGACTTGCAGCAGCATAAAAAGACATGGCATTGTACATTAGAGAAATGAAAAGACTAGAAATAAACAATCCAAAATGTAAACATCTCAATAGAAATAAAATGGCATTCAAAAAAGTAGAAAATATACATGTTGAATTACAAATGTACAGTAACAGAATATAAAGCAGGATATTATATATACATAACTAGCCTAGTTTAGCTTCAGCTTGCAGTGATACAAATGTTTCAAAAGGTCAACAGGAAGTATTCAAAGCATCCAACCACCGCTTTAGAATAGAATCCTTTATTGTCATTATACAGGTATACAATGAGATGAGTAGAGCTACTCCATTTGTTGAGGTGCCATCAAGAATACAAAAACCAACAAGAGACGTACAACATTCAGGAGGAGACAACATACAAACAACAAGCATTCATACTTCAATATTCTTACGGTCAGTCGGTGGGACTTACTTGAATGCCGCCAGGACCTGGAGCCCCAGAGAACCCTGGGTAACCAACATCGCCCTGGAAGACACCAATAAGTATATTAATAAGTGTTTGTGCGAATGAGGCCAGGTGATTTCCGTTTCATGGAGTAACCTCTCTGAAAAGTCAAGGGTAGAGCTGTTCTGTGAAGTGTGACGTTATTTAAATCTATGATGCTGAGTCCAAGTGAAAAACAGAAATGAAAGTGCTGGGAATGTCGTTCATAAAAGTGTCTGATAGTTGTATTTCACCTTCAAAATCATGTTTTAAATGCATGTTAATTTTACATCTGGTGTGCCACAGGGCACGAGTCAAGATCCTCTGTTTTCACATTTACATGCTTCTCAAATGCTACCCACGTCATTAGAAGACATAATGTGTATTTTTTAACAGATGACAACCCAGAATATATTCTTGTCTTCTTTGTGATAGTAATGATGAA